GAGGGGCCGGGCCCGCCCACGGGGAGGCTCCGCGCAGTCCTCACTCAGGTCGGACCGAGCGCGGCAGCGGCGCGGCCCCGGCTCTGCCCCCCGCCTCCGGCCCCGTCCGCGGCTCGGCGGCGGCGGGTACGGGGCTCGGGGAAACGGCGGGGGGGCGGACGAAAGCCGGGAAAAAGCTACGCTGGGGAGTCTGTGCCTGGCGCTACCTGTGAGGGGACTGAGCAGGTCGGGGCGAGAACGCGTTCCACTTTGCTTTCCCTTGTAACCCGCGACAACGCACATTGCACGGCCGGGGAGTGGGCATCCACCTTGAAGTCTGTTTTCTATATCAGGAGAGCAAGCAACAAGAGCACTAGGTGGTCCGAAAGCACCTGTGCTGTCAGTGCTCCCGGTTTACACCGTCTTCCATTAATACTGGTCAGAAGAGCAATACCATGTTCCAGCCTTCGGGAATGTGCTTCGGTTTTTTTAATTGGGAATCCACCGGCAACATTTATTTGTTTTACCCGCTGCCCCTACAGCGTACAAACACCAAAACGAACTGCTAGGGCTTTTTAAGGGCGTTATGAACCTCCTCGGATCTGTTGAATCAGGTGCAGGACATAGCCTAAGTTTACTACGAACACCGCCAATACTACTTTCCTTATAACTAATGATACTTTTACACCGCAACTTAACTCATTACTCTCAGCTCAGAAAAAAAAAAAAAAAAAAATAACAACAACAAAAAAACCCACATTACAGGTAGGAAATCCGCCACAGGATTAGCTCTTTTACTGAGAAGGTGGGTGGCTCTTAAAAGAGCCTTTGGGTTGAAATTATCGGATAAATGACTCAGAAGCAGTCTACTTGGAGCTGGTGTACTTGGTGACAGCCTTGGTGCCCTCGGACACGGCGTGCTTGGCCAGCTCGCCGGGCAGCAGCAGGCGCACGGCCGTCTGGATCTCCCGCGAGGTGATGGTGGAGCGCTTGTTGTAGTGCGCCAGGCGCGACGCCTCGCCCGCGATGCGCTCGAAGATGTCGTTGACGAAGGAGTTCATGATGCCCATGGCCTTGGACGAGATGCCCGTGTCGGGGTGCACCTGCTTCAGCACCTTGTATACGTAGATGGAGTAGCTCTCCTTGCGGCTCTTGCGCCGTTTCTTGTCGCCCTTCTTCTGCGTCTTGGTCACCGCCTTCTTGGAGCCCTTCTTGGGCGCGGGGGCGGACTTGGCCGGCTCGGGCATG